AAAAAAAAAAAAAAAAAATTTTTTTTATATTATTACTTTAAAAAGTATTACTTTAAATTTATTTATATGGATTCAATTGAATTTTTATATAATAAATAGATTTTTACAATAAAATAATATATATAGTTTTTTTTAACAAGTATTCGATGTGTGTGTGTAAGCTAAATCTATTAATTAAAAAAAAAAGGCTTTTTTGTTATAAAAAAGAGTGAAATTTCTCCTCCATCCAAATCTGTTTTTTTTTGTCAACAAAAATAAAAACTTTCATCGTTCAAATACTGCCTGAGAGAAGTGTCGATATTAGTGTGTATGTAATAATAATCTATTATACTTCTCTTTGTGTAATAAAATATAATAACAAACGAAACGAACTCCAAAAAAAATAAAAAAAAAAATTATATATATATATAAATAATATTAGTTTTTAGCTCTGCCCAATATTTTTTTACGAACCAGAAAAAAAAAATTATATTTTTTATATATATAAATATTTTTTTTTTAAAAAAAAAATAATATTAAAAATATTAAAACAATAATTGAAATTATCTAACATCCAACGAACGATATTTTTCTTATAATTAATAGGGAGAAGAAAATCAGCTTCCTTTGAAAACGACAATCAAGACAAAAAACGATAATTAGTTAAATTTTTTTTAAGCAGGCTCAAAAGAGGTAAAATATTCATTCATTCATTTTTGTTTTTTTTTTTCGTTTTTGAATGGGTTTCACTTTTGTTCTCTCAGAAAAGGAGGAATAAGGTGGTTGGTCATATATTATTCGAGTGATTTTGATCATTCGCTTTTCTAGTTTCCCTTTTTGGTCCAAATCATTTATTTTTTTTTTTTTATACACTGCCCAATTTTATCACTTAAAGTACTTAAGGTACTTAAAAGTAATTACTTTACTTAACATTATAAAACACCTTTTAATAAGCGATCATACAAAATTTTAACTCCTTGTTAGAAAAATTATTCCTTTTAATCTTTTTATTATTATTATTCAACCTTTTTTTTTTATACCCTTACTTCACTTATTGTTACTTGTTCAGTTCCCGACTTTTTCAAAGTCGGCGCTGATGGTGCGGTGCATTCTTTTCAACTAATCAAATTCCGATTTGTGCAGATCCTTTTTTATATTTTTAGTTACTTATTATAAATAATTTTATATTTATATGTACGTCTAAAGTCGTAATTTTTTGATAACCTCATTACATATGCTCTGTAGTGTAGCCAGTTTGTAGCATAAGTTTTATAAAACCTCCTCATTTTTTTTTCCCACCAAAAAAAAAATTATAAAAAAAAATTTTTTTTTTTTTTCTTTCTATTTTTTTTTATTTTGAAACCCAATTATTTTTTTTTTTAATCACTCTAGTTACAGTTTCTCCATTTACTAAAAAGAGATCTTTTTTTTTTTTAATAATCAAACAGAAAGTTTTACGAAAAAAAAAGAAAATATCAAACTTTTTTGCAAATTTTTAAAATCATGACTGCTGAACTCGATAGCACACCGAATCTTGTTGGAATGGAAGCATGGTCACGTATGAATCGAGGCTTTAATGCTTATCCTTCATCTCAACAACATCATCATCATCAAGCTCAACAACAACAAAATCACCATCATCAACATCATCAAGCTGTTCTCCCGATGCATCCTCATCCTCAACAGCATCAACAACAACCTTCCCCTCAACAATCTCACACTCATTATCAACAAACTAGACCAAACTTACCTCCAATTGGTGGTTATCATAATTCTGGACCAAACAATAATACCAACGGTTTATTGAGTTCAAATACTCCTGTATCTTACGCTACTAATCAATATGGAAATCCTTCTATGATAAAGACCGAACAATCTTCGGTTCAAAATAGTTCTTCTCCAAATGTTACTACTGCATCAATGGAAACTTTTAGTAATATTACCAATGGTATCAGCAATAGAAAAGCATCAGCTACTACTACTCCTATAACATCCCCAACAAAGAATCCCCAAGATCTCGTAGTAGAAACTCATATTCAAGGAAAGCCACCGTATTCCTATGCTACCTTGATCACTTATGCAATTACAAATAGTCCAAACAAACAACTTACTTTGAACGAGATTTACAACTGGGTTATGGAAAATTATCCTTACTATAAGACTGCCGGTACTGGATGGAAGGTAATTAATTGATTTAATTTTATAGTTATCTATTCGTTCTTTCAGGTCAATGCATAAAATCTTTCAGGTCAACGTATTAAATATTACTCTCTTTTTTTTTTTTTAATAGAACTCCATTAGACATAATTTGTCTTTGAATAAGACTTTTGTTCGTGTCCCTCGTCCAATCAATGAACCAGGTAAAGGTTCTTACTGGACAGTTGATTTCCGTGCCGCTGAAGCTGAACAACAACATCGTTCACGAAGCAGAAATAACAGATCTTCAAGTGATCCAACTCCTTATCGATCAGATCCTTGGAATTCTTATGATCGTAGATACAGAGAACCCATGACCGCTGTACCAGAAATGAACCGATCGTATTTTGATAGTGTAGTAGGAGTAGGTCAATATGGTGGTATGCAAAATATGCAATCTCCTTATCGTCCTGTAGTACGTTCTCCACGAGCTTACACTCACACAACAATGGGACAACCCTACCTTCCCGCTCAAGGTCTTGGAAGTGGTGCAACCGGAATTGCTGGAACACAACCAACTATGCCATATACCGCCGGTGCCGGCATCGGTAATATTACCGCTGTCACAAATTACGATCTTGAATACACAAATCTTCACAGTCATGCTACAGCCGCTCATGTAGATGGTCATAACGCTGCCTTTAATGGTTATGGTGCTCATCCAATTTACCAATCACAAATGACAACACATTCAGACAACAACACATCGGTAGCTCACACATCTTTCGTTTAAGAGTATATATAATATTATATATATATATATATATATATTTTTATTTTTTTTTTCTTTTGAAAATTTTTTGTGAATCAAAAAATTTTCTTGTACAGTAACTATTTTTAAATTTATAAAGTATATAGTTTAATAGGTTAATTTAGGGTTTATGGCTTATATATATAACATATATGAAAATATATGACAATTTTCCTTTTTTTTTTTATGTTTCGTTTTTTGTATTTTTTTTTTCTTTTCTTTTCTTCACTTTGAATATACGTTTTCATCGTGAGGAAGAACATCGTGCCTAGGTCACGGTGTTTTTTTTTTCATCTTTTATTTTTCTGATTTTCTTTTAAAAATCAATCTCTGGCATTAAAAATTTCAAATAACTGGCAAATCTGAATTTTTTTATACACTTACAATTTACTTTACTTTACACAATTATATATTATATTATATTTCTTTGCACACTATTTTGTTTGATCTATTTCTCTATTCTATTCTATTCAATGATATTATATAAATTTCGTTTAAAACCTTTTTTTAATTGGGTTTTTTTTTTCGATCAGCACCCCCTTATTCGTTTTTTTTTATATTGCATTTTTTTATTATTATTATTACTTTTACTTTATTATACTAGTTTTATTATATTTTCGATTTTTATTTTATTTACAAGCTGAGAAAAAAAACCTTATTATTCCTTTTATTATACTTGTAATAATTTGTGAATGATGATGGACGAAGTTGTTTATTAAAAAAAAAAAAATCCAAGATTTTACGAACAAGAAAGGAAGGAAGGAATAAAAGATTATATCCCTCCGTTTCTTTTTTGTTCATTAATTTTTCTAATCATTAATAATTTACATTGAACCGTTTTTTTTTTTTTTTTTTTTNTAATAATATATATGAAATAAAAAAAATAAAATGTAAAAAGTTTTAAACAATTTAAGTATGAAATGAAAAGTATGATTAAGTATTGAAGTATGATAGTATGTTTGGAGTATGTTTGGAGTAAGAGTATGTTAGAGTACGTTTGAGTATGACTTTGAGTATGTTTGAGTTATGACTTGAGTACGTTAGAGTATATGATTGAGTCCGAGTTTTGAGTATGTTTTACTTTGGCGATGTCAGTTTGTGATATGATATGTGATGGAGGGATGGATAAGTTTCTTGGAGTTTTTTTTACGTTTCCAATAGTTTTTTAATAGTTTTTACGTTTTTTACGTTTTTTACGTTTCCATTGAGTTTCTTACGTTTCTTACGTTTCTTTCGTTTTTTACGTTTTTTTACGTTTCCATTGAGTTTCTTACGTTTCTTACGTTTCTTTCGTTTCTTACGTTTTTTACGTTTCCATTGAGTTTCTTACGTTTTTTACGTTTCCATCGAGTTTCTTACGTTTCTTACGTTTTTTACGTTTCCATCGAGTTTCTTACGTTTTTTACGTTTCCATTGAGTTTCTTACGTTTCCAATGGTTTTTTACGTTTCTTACTTTCCATTGAGTTACGTTTTTACGTTTCCGGTTTTACGTTTCCATTAAGTTTTTTACGTTCCACTAAGTTTCTTACGTTTCCAATAGTTAACAATCAATCGTTAATTCAATCTTTGATTAACAGACGTGGTACGGAACAATGAAACGTGAAGAAAAATATAACGTGAAGAAAAACGTAACGTAACGTGAAGAAAAATATAACGTAACGTGAAGAAAAATATAACGTAACGTGAAGAAAAATATAACGTAACGTGAAGAAAAATATAACGTAACGTGAAGAAAAAATATAACGTGAAGAAAAACGTAACGTAACGTGAAGAAAAAATATAACGTGAAGAAAAACGTAACGTAACGTGAAGAAAATATAACGTAACGTGAAGAAAAACGAAAAACGTAACGTAAAGGAAAACGTAACACGTAACGTGAAGTAAAGAAAAAATATAAATATAAATATAAATAAATAAATAAATATAAATAAATAAATATATACAGTATATATATATTGCAACGAAACTATCAATTTTAATATCAAAAAACTAAATTTCAATTAAATATCAAAAACTAAATTTCGAATTTCGATTAAATATCAAAAACTAAATTTCAATTAAATAAAAATCTAAAAAGACGCGAAAACGAAAAAAGAAAGAAAAGGAAAACACGATCTATTTTTAGATATCTGACGTCTCACCAGTCGATCATAGATTTACCATGCACATTTCTTTGACTCACTATTTTTAATCTCACCCTTTCTTTTCTCACACTCCCCTTAGGATTTGCAGGGTTAGGTTACTAGGTCACTCTTTTTTTTTTGTCGCCAAAAGATTAACAATTAATAATTGTAGTTTCAAATTTGGAAATAATATTTTATCTAATATTATCTAATATTATTCTTGATACTTTTACTTTACGATAATAATCACCAAAAATCAATCAATCAAAAGTTGTAAAAAGTAAAGATTAACTTTTTTTTTTATTCTTAAAAGTATAAATTATTTGATAGTTAAAAATGGTTTCTTTCAATATCAATTACGCCCAATCAATTAATCCTTTAGATTTTTGTGTTACGAAACGGATGGGTCATGGGATTGATTTTTATGTTCTTTGTCAATTAAATGATCAAACCGAATGGGATATCCGCTGGGATATCCGCTCCTGGATAAGAAAAAAAAACGGATCATTTACGAATTATACGATGAAAATCCGTAAGTTATCCAATAAATTTCGGCGATTCCCGTTCATTTATTGTCATAACTGAGTCAAGTAATTATTAAAAAAGAGTAATAAATATAATACCTGATTAGAGAGGATAATTCCAAATAAAGTTTTCAATGTAATGTTTTTTTTTATGTACGTTATGTAATTAAATGAAGTAATGAGTTTCTTGATAACGCATCTTAAAAATCTTGTTTTTTCTTTACACAAAGTTATCTTTAATCAATAAAAAGCCATCGATCATCTTTATATTTTAAGTCTGTCTATTTAGTCTATTTAAGTCTATCTATTTATTTTTATTATCCTTTATTTATTTATTTATTTATTTTATTTATTTATTTTATTTTATTTATTTTTTTTTTTT